GGACCTGAAATGCAGCGCATTCCCAAAGCCTGTCTGTCCACAATGGCTCAATCTTTTACAAAAACCCTGTCATCTCTTCATAACCACACGTTTGGGTCCCAAGGTGGAAGCTAAAGCTTCTCAAGCATGAGAGAGGATTCAGACACACATATCATGAACACCATGGTATTCCTTATTTCGTGTCAGCCCTTCCTTCCCGAGGCTTTTCCTCATCCTAGGCCCAGCTCCAGCCTTCATGCAGGCAGTCTGTGTCCCTTGGCAGCCACCTCCACCTCTTGCCGGGGCCAACCCTCAGGAAAGATTCCCTCAGGGCCTTGAGCCATTTGAAAATCACTCTAGGAGCTAGGAAACTCCTCAGAAACACAGCTGATAGTTCAGAGGCAGGCAGCAGTGCGCGTGGGGGAACCCTTGCTGGGCATGGGCATAGCAGTCAGGAGTTCAGAGAGAGCAAGGATTTACAAGGAGTTGGAGACTGAAGGAATAGGACCCAGAGAGGAAGGGGTCTGAAAACAAAGGCCAGAAGAGTAGACACACACTAACAGTGGATGCCAAAGTCAGTCACGCTCTGCTTGGTGAGCACACACAGGCTCTAGGGGAAAGAAATTTTCCTGGCTGTGTCAGTTGCCCTGACCTATTTAGTATACTGTTCTACCTCCTGTGACAACCTCTTACATGCAGCTGACACACCTCACACCACAAACAGAGACCACCTCCCTGTCTTATTTCTGTCTCAAAGAGCCATCTGACCAAATGTTCTACACGAGGGGTAGGAACAGCCACAAAAAGATACTGAGAGTCTGTTTCTCTCTTCCTAATTAGGCTGTCAATCTGTTTAGCTAATAAGTCGTATAAAGTGTCTTAATCTCTTCCAAGGAAAGGAGTCATATAAATGCAAAATAGCAGCAGCAATAAGTCCAATGGCTTGCTACTCATCTTTTCTGTGTGTGAAGAGATGCCGTTTAGCAGAAGGGAAACTTTCTGGGTGGAGAGGAGACAGACTAGGAAAAAAACCACGTAACAGCATTTGTTTTTATTAGGCTGCGTCTATACAGCACAAAGTAAAACAGATTTGCCAATTATTTAGGTAACGTGACAGTCAATTCATGCAATTTTGAGCACAAAGAAGTTTTCTCAAGGAAGTCCCTAAATATCGGGATCAGCTACCAACATTAATCAAAGTAACTGGACAATTGGGCTGTACAGACACAAACTAATCAACGTACCCTGAGATGGTTCTTCCGAAAGGCTTATATTTTATAAACCTAATATTAAAACTGGCCCAATATTTGTAACCACTCTCTTCATTTTGGCACTGCAATTAACAGTTCCCAATTTTTCTTACAATGCATCTTACATTTAGAGCCAAAAAGATAAGGGTGACCTTCTCCCTAGAGAGTTTTATCAGGTTAATGCATGGAAGCTTATTTAGAAATTCATTCGGTGTCTGGGATGTGAGAATTGGTCATTAAAGATTAAGAGCTTTTTTCTCAAGAGGCAAGAACTTACAGGGAATAACAGCGAGTCTTGCTACGTCCCAAAGAAGAGGTTGTTTGCTCCGGATGACAGTGTTTCTGCCCAGTACAAAAACACTTTCCTACTAAGCTAATTTTTCTTCCTCTTTAACTTATTTATGTTTTTAAATATATATTTTGAGAGACAGGATCTTACTTTGTTGTCCAGGCTGGCGTGCAGTGGTGTGATCTTGTCTCACTATAGCCTTGACCTCCTAGACACAAGTGATCCTCCTGCCTCAACCTCTTCAGTAGTTAGGATGACAAGCGCATGCCACCATGCCTGGCTATTTTTTCTTTTTTCTTTTTGAGACGGAGTTTCGCTTTTGTTACCCAGGCTGGAGTGCAATGGCGCGATCTTGGCTCACCGCAACCTCCGCCTCCTGGGTTCAGGCAATTCTCCTGCCTCAGCCTCCCGAGTAGCTGGGACTACAGGCACACACCACCATGCCCAGCTAATTTTTTGTATTTTTAGTAGAGACAGGGTTTCAGCGTGTTGACCAGGATGGTCTTGATCTCTTGACCTCGTGATCCACCCTCCTCGGCCTCCCAAAGTGCGAGGATTACAGGCTTGAGCCACCGCGCCCGGCCTTATTTTTTCTTTTAAATTTTATTTTTTTTTGTAGAGATGGGAGTGTCACTATGTTGCCCAGGGTGGTCTTGAACTCCTGGCCTCAAGTGATCCTTCTGCCTCAGCCTTCCAAAGTATTGAGATTACAGGTGTGAGCCACTGCTCCCAGCTTCCTTCTTCTGTAAAGTTTGCTAGGGGTATGCTGTACACATTTGGACTTCTACTTGGTGATTACCTTTGAAAAACCTTCCAATGAGAAGTACTGTCTTCCATGTTTCTTAACAATCCAAACAACTAATAGTCCCCTTTCTCTCTCTCCCTATTTTCTTCCCCCAAACAAAATGTTGCCATTTCCATGCTACCCATTTTCTCCTTGGAAGACAGTATGTGAATAATTCTGGTGGTCACAGGAGTGGCTTCTACTTTAGTATATTATTATGTAAAATCACCTTCTTTTGTGTGAACCACCCACATTTGATGTTTTTATTTCTTCCAAGTTAGCCAAACTGACATTCTCTCAGCACGAACCTAGGAATTCCAGATCCAATACACCCCTCTTTTTGTCACTAGCTGAAACCAAATGAGTTAGAAAAGACTATATTAACCAGACTTTACACACATTATACTCACTTTCATAAAAGGAAAATATAACCTCAGAGTAAGAGTCTTTGGTTAGAAGTTGAGGCAGACAAGATTAAATGAACAGAGTGGATAACTACAGTTCACTTGGAAACATTCAGACCTACCTGGTTTTACTTGTAAAATTGTCCCTTGCCCAAAGATTAGTTTGTTTGTGCTGCTAAAGTCACACTGTAATGCTGTACTTTACAAAAACTATAAATGGGGATCATTTCCATTTTCCTTCTTTCCCTCCAGCAACCTGACCCAGTAGCAACAAAAACATATTAACTGAAAACTTTCTATGGGCCACTATGCCATATATAGTAGGTATTAGCTATAATTACCATTATACCTAATAATTCTAGATATAATTACCATTATAGGTATTAGCTCTTTTAATCTCTTAACATCTCAATGAGCTAGGTACTATTACCATCCCCATTTTACAGATTAGAAAAATGAGGCATAAAGAGATTAAGCAACCTGAAAAGTTAGGATTTGCCTGAACAGTTTGATTCCAAAATTCATATTCTCAACCATTATGCCATATCTTTCATTAGCCACCCTCCCCCACCTGCCATTTTGGGTTCTCTTTTGAAGCGTACCAGTCACATCGATAAAATAGTTCATTGATCTAATAAACATATCCTGAGATAGATCTTCCGAAAGCCTTACGTTTCGTAAATTTAATATTAAAAGAAATCCAATGTTTATACCCATTATCTTCATTTTGGTACTGTAACAGACATTCTCCATTCTTTCTTTTTTTTTCTGCATGTGTCATATTTAGAGCTTCAAAGGTAAGGATGACCTTCTCTCCCCAGAGTCGTATCAGGTTAGCACATAGAAGCCCATTTAGAAATTTATTAACGTCTATAACAAAGATGTCTTTCCTGAAGCCCTTTGGCTCTGTTGTACAACCCCCCTTGCCCTTATCCAGCTTTGTCAAGCCTGGAGCTCCAGAACTGACTCAGGACCTAGCCCCAGCCAAAACCAGAGCAAACAGTGCTGGGAACACAATTTGGTGTGTGGAGCAAAATTCTGAACAGCGTAGGTGGTTTCTAAGATGCTCCTGAGGACTCTTGCAGAGAATAACCTCTCAGAAAAGGCCAGAATTAGGATGAAATCAATTCCTTTCCTGTTACCTCTAGCAAATCCACAATAAGGCTCCAAGCCAAAGAGAACTGAGAGACACAGACACAGGAATTATATGCCAAGTTTGAGTCATTCTGGATAATCCACACTGGGAGATGTGCTCTTGTGTGGTCACTAGCATGACTGTGAGTCCTGAGAGTTCCCAGGACTTGACCTATTTGGCTGGAAAGAAGCAGTATGTGCCAATGGCCCACGGTGAGGCTGGCACAGTACAGACTAAAGGGGCCATGAAACGTGCTGCACACTCTCACCTTCTGTAATATCCACTGCTCCCTGACAGGCCTTTTAGGAATGTACCTATGTGTTGCTCTCTAAGAAAACAGCCGAATATGCCAATGGCCTTCCTATCCTGCTCATCTGGATCCCTCTCTCCAGTTATTTTGATTGAGGAGTAGGCAAGGGTTCAGTTTTGATAGAGGAAGAAAACATGAGCCATAACTGGATATTTTAAACATTAGGGCGAAAAAAGGAGGAGACAATTTCTGAGATATTTTAAACTGCACAGACAGGTTTGAGAGAGTTAACATGAAGACTCACTTGGATTTACTGCCAGACTTGTCCCCAGTCCCCAAATCAGCTTAAGGTTGTTGCCAACATTACACAGGCATAGAAAGCTTTACCAAAATTGACCAGGCCAATATGTATCAGGAAATCCCTTTGAATCCCCAAATCTGGCCAGGGTGTCCTCCAGCTGAGACCCTGGCCAAAGAGGCAGCGGAAAAGACTGTTTATCATGGCAGTCTATTCACAGCAGGGTCAGGTGGAAAGGCTCTTCTGAGGGTTACTAGTTCACCCCTCCACCTCCTGACAAAGCTGCCTTCTGACCAGGCCAGCAAGGAGGCATAATCCTGACAAAGCCGCTGGAGAAGGATTCCCCCACGGCAGTGTTCACCCAGTCTGTGTTCTACTGAGTCAGACTTTCCGACCCAAACGGTTAAGACGAAAAGGACAAGGAATCTGTTTAGCACATTTGTTCCCATGCCAGTTACACATATATCCATTTTCACATATGCATATGCCATGCATTGATAACATGTAACCATTAGAATTAACATAAAAATAAAATTAAGTAAACAGAGCTCAGTGCTATGGCTTCCTTTTGAAATTAGAGCATTCATTATGGATTCAGCAGAGATACTCACGGGGTTTGACCATTAACCTTGTTCCCCCTCCAAATGTGAGCACGTTGCCTGCATTATTATTCACACAGTGATCTTCAGCTGAGCAAAAACCTCCTAGAAACTGAACTAAGTTTTCCCTAAAGATCTCCTGGAAGGAGCGATATCGTGAGCACAGAGAATATTAAGTAATTGTCACAGTAATAACCTGGCACAGGATCCCAGTACCAGTTTGGATTTCAGGACTGTTTCTACCCTGGGTAAATAAAGGATAGTCTTTTTACATGTTCTAAAGAAAGAGTTTTCCTGCACAGACCCAGAATACTGAATGCCAAAATCCTGGCGAATCCACTGGTGCTTTAGATAATAATTCCCCAGGGTTCTGAAAATTATATACCTCATTTGGGCAAAGTAGGAACAATTTATGTCCATGGCACCAAAGCAAAAGCAGTCAGGGAGACTGTTGTCACAGTGGGAGGGATTGAGAGAAGCTGTCACGGCCCCCTGGCAGGAAGGGTCAGGTTGGTGATCACACCTTCCAGGTGCTGGTGCCAGGCACCTCTGACTGTGGTCACCTCAGGAACAACTGAGGGGATGCCCAACCTTTTCAACACGCTGAACTAGAGACGGTCCTATGCAACTCTCTGCCCTACAATCCACCCTGGACTCCAACTCCATATCTTTTAATCCCCTGCTTTGCTAGTTACCAGGAAAAAGACTTTTCACCACTTCCTATCCTTGTCCTAGGAGACTTTTCCACTCTTACTGTCCCTTCCCTAGGACATAACACAGCTCAAGGACTCATTAGAAATAATTCTCTTACAATTAAGAAGGTGGCTTCTCCTGTTTTTCCTGCATGTTTTTCCTTTCGAGCTTCTCTCAATTTTGAGGTACCTGACTGAAAGTCTGAGCCTGAAATTCCATGGGCAGCACCACTGAGTGGCTAGCATGGTCTCCTCCCACTTCCTTACCCCTGGCCACATTGAGGACCAGGGGCTTAACAACTGACGTTAGGAATGGACCACTCTGAAGGAAAATCAAGAAACACACAGCCTATAAATCTACTTGGATGATATAAGTGTTATTTCAGGGACAGACCTTTCCTTTCCGAACCCATTACAGACACCAGCTCTCTCCTTACTTTGCTTCTTTGATGGCTGTCTTACCTTGGCCTGCTTAATTAACCAATGATACACTTTTCACACTCTTCCTATGAAACTAAGTCTGGTGATGCCTGTGCTGGATCTCAAGGCTAAGAGATGGTGAGACCAAATTTTGTCACCTGTGCAAGACTGTTTTAGGTGGTAGGTCCAGGATATCTGAGGTATGAACACAAGGTATAGGTGTGGGCGTGTATAAATATTCAAGGGAAGCAGATGCCTAGTTTTCCTAGAGCAGAACATTCATGAAAGGGAATTGCTAGAAATAAATTTGGAGAACAGAAAGGGCCCAGATTTTAGAGAGCTTTGAGTGACTTGCTAGGTATCTGGACATGATTTCCCCTTGAGATGATTTCTCAAAATATGAATGCCCAGATAAAGCACTGAGCTGCACAGAGGAGAGAGACATAAAAAGAGGTAGAAAAGTGAGTGGAAATGTAAAGTGAGAACATAGTTTTAAAAAAAGAGAATAAAGAACACAGAACTCCCGTTGTGTTTACGGGAGTTTCTCAAGGTCTTCAAGTCATGAACATTTTTCTAGTGTTGGATACAATTCTTATAAACTCAGAAGTGAGTCCATCACGGTGCTCCTCAGAGCTCTCCCTCACCCCTGCTGTACCGAGTAAAGGGACCCCAATTGCCACCTCAGATAGCAGTGATTTTAGCTTGCACAGTTTACATGGATACTTCCCTTGTCGTACCTTCCCTTGTCCCTCAAACACGAATGTCAGCAACCTTTAAAATGAAGCCTGTCTTGTCTGTAATACTCACTTGCTAAAACCTTCAGCCTTGTGCCTGTTCCAAAGACGTATTTGTTGGTTCCTGTGGTAGTCACAGTGTCATGTGTCTCTACATAAACCAACATAAGGAAGCAGCTTTACTCTCCATGAATAAATGGGGCATCATAGGCACTTTCCCCATTGAAAGGCCTTGACCTGATATCTTTCTAAAACTAATTTATTTGGGATTATATTTCAATTCATACAGCAAGTCTTCACTGCTTCTATTGGGTCCGAGTTTGCAAAACTTCTTCGATCTCATGCTATCTTTGTGTTTATTAAAGAGGCTGATTTAATTAACATAAAAGGAATTAAACATCTAAATGCCTGTTGAACCCTCTGAAATATTCTGTCTAGGACTCCCCCGAGAGCCAGTTTGTGAGCCACACAAACAAACCCATGACATTATTTTATAGTTACATATATTTTGGATCCAAAACGGTATCAGCAACTAGTCGATTCCCTCCTCTATATTAGTCTTGGTTCTGAAAAAGTTTTGGTTATCAATAAAAGTGAAATCCATCTTTAAAAGATAAAGACATTATGGATAGTACAAAAAGAAAATGTTTTGGCCTTTGAGGGTGATTTCAATGAGGGGGCGAACGATGGACAGTGTTAGATGCTTCAAGCTGGGTGCTTTGACTGGGCCACTCATTGAAATGTATAAACTCGATTTGTTAACAAATCAGCCCCATTAGCTTATTGTCACAGCTGGTTTGTGTGCAGAGGATTATTGATGAAATACTACCAAAATGTGAGATGGCAGACATTTTTGCAAATAGTGTGCCTGCAGGAAAGCACCCGTTTCTGTAATTCTAACAGGAAAAAAAAAACCCCAACATCAAAAAAACACACTGAACTCTGCAAGTGTGGAGATAGCCTGTAAATTTTCAATGTTGCTTTTTATAATCCATCTCGATTACCCTCTCCCTGACAGTTTCCCAACTCGGATAAACATTCTGCTTTATTAAAGATAATCTAGTGGATGGGGAGGCCCTCCACAGTACTAGAATTCTCTGCCTCTCCCATAGGGTTGACTTGGCCAGCCTAGATAAGGAGGTGAAGTCCATGTGTGGACCTGCTTTGTCCCTATGGTGAGGAAGGGGGTTATCCAAAGAGAAGCAAGCCCATTGATGTGACACGTTAAGGGCTGTTCTCTCTCTAGAGAGAGTTACATTATTCTACTATTCTCTCAGAGGAAGAAAGCCATGCCAAGCTTATAACTCCTGCTGCCCTCCCTTCACTTGAGTCCTCAGTCCACTTGCCTTATTTTTCTGTTTTTCTTTCCTTTTTTTTTTTTTGAGACTGAGTCTTGCTCTATCACCCAGGCTGAAATGCAGTGGCACGATCTCAGTTCACTGCAACCTCTGCCTCCTGGGTTCAAGCGATTTTCCTGCCTTAGCTTCCCAAGTAGCTGGGATTACAGGTGCCTACCACCATGCCTGGCAATTTTTGTATTTTTAGTAGACATGAGGTTTCACCATATTGGCCAGGCTGATCTCGAACTCCTGATCTCAAGTGATCCACCTGACTTGGCCTCCCAAAGTGCTGGAATTACAGGCGTAAGCCACCGTGCCCAGCCCACTCACCTTATTTCTCAATTCTACCAAACGACACAAGCATCAGCTCAACTGGGTCCTTGCCACTTATCCGTTGAGGACGTACTTCCTTGGCTATGCCACTGCTTTGGTAGCTTCCCTTTTCATTGGTTTGTTTTTGTCTCTATCACAAAGCTTTGCTTCTTATCTCTGCTTTCTCAAAGCCACAACTTGCTTTGTGGACCTTTGAAAAACACTGATTACAATATTAGTACAGTTTATCAAACTGCCCTGAGACCTGATAACCAAATCCAGCCTCCAGGGAAACATGTATTCATATCTTGCTCACACATCAGACATAGTTAACAACTGCATGCTAAGCAAAGCAATTAAATTCAGCTGTGTTTCAACAGATCCCATTGGATTTCTTTCCAGAAAGGACAATTAGTAAACCACAAGAACTCACGGGGTGTGACCAACAGCGAAGTGCCTTTGCCGAAGTTGAGTGCATAGCCGGCATTTGAGTTCCACAGTGCATTCTCCCTAAACAAAAAACCCCTCACAGTAGCCACCCATCCCTTCTCCTGTGATCCCTATTAAAGCTAATGCCTGAAAACCAATCACACAGCAGTCACACAGACTGTGGGTCATCCATGGGCCTTTGATGGTGTAAATAAAGCTTCCCTCTTCCATTAGGCGATTTCTGACAAGGTCGCCACTCCCCACAGTGATGTGGGTGATCAACATTGAGATCTGCCATTTGAGGGAGGGGGCCCTGTGACATATTATGAAGTCTGGAGTTTTCCTATGTCCAGTGGAAGGACATGCTGGTCTGGACTGGGAACAGCCAGGGGCATGGACAGGAGCAATTCTGTGGGGTTCAGGGGTTCAGGGGTAGGGGAAGACATTACAGAGAAAGGAGTTGGTAAGTCTCTTCTCACTCACTCTGCATTATACTTTAGTTGCACTTACTGATAGTCTTTGAATCCCCAACACTTACTTGGTTTAACAGAGAGTGTAGTGCCTTTTCCAAAGATGAGTTGTTGGCTTCCTCCATAATTCACACAGTCCTATGGGGCTTTACAATAATCAACAGATGGGAAGGATGGAGAGGGAGACTGAGCAAGTGAGATCACCTTCCCCTCTAGTGGAAGTATCTCCACCTTGCAGCTTCTGGTCCCAGTTCCTTTGCAGGTGACGATAGTTCTCTAAAATTAACAGCTGGCTGTGTAAATAGATCTGAACTTGATTTTAAATCCCCTGCTTTTTTCCTAGAACACTGGGTTCTGACAGAATGCTCATGCCAGAGGCACATGAGGACAATAGCAAGGTTGGGCAGAGCCTTCCCACCCAGCACAGGAGGTCAACATCGGGGTCCCAGTGGCTATTTTAGGGACCAGGAGCATCATGCCACTTTCTCAGCCATAGTTCTTCCAAAGAATAATTATAAAAACAAAACCAACAAAAGAGCTGGCTATACTTCTCTTAGTGTGGAGGGGTTATTAAGGAAAATCTGATTTTTGAGTTGTTAGGTCTTTTAATTTTGTCTTATCACAAAATATGGGTTTTACATATTACATTTAGTATTTTTTTTTGAGATGGAGTCACACTCTGTTGCCAAGGCTGGAGTGCAGTGGCACCATCTCGGCTCACTGCAGCCTTCAACTCCTGGGTTCAAGCGATTCTCCTGCCTCA